CGCCTGTCTCTGCCTCCCAAGTGCTGGGATTAAAGGCAAGCACCACCACCGCCCGGCTTAATTCCAACACTTGGGAGGCAGAGGTAGATTGACCACTGAGACTTCAAGGGGCAGAGGTAGACTGACCTCTGTGACTTCAAGGTGTGGCAGCACACCAGAGACAGAGGGATCTCTAAGAGTTCAAGGACAGTCTAGTCCACAGAGTCATTCCAGGACAAAGATATACAGAGAACCTGTCTCAAAAAATAAAAGTAAACAAATATGTAAGAGTTAGCCAAGAAGAGACTAGATATATAATGGGTCAGGCAGTGCTTAAAAGAACACAATTTGCGTGTTATTATTTCTGGGGCAAAGCTAGGCATGTGGGAGCCGGGTGGGATACTTAAAAGTATCAAGGTGTATGGGTTTAACAAAGTTAAACACCTGTTGATACTATGCCTTTAAAAGAAAAAAAAAGTGCTGGAGAGATGGTTTAGCAATTAAGAGGGCTTGTTACTCTTACACTGCAAGAATTCACTTCCACCAGGCACAGTGGCACTCATCTTTAATCCAGCACTCAGGAGACAGAAGCAGGCAGACCTCTGTTGCATTCTACAAACTGAGTTCCAGGACAGTCAAAGTTGTTACACAGAGAAACTCCCATCTTAAAGGGGGGGGAAAAAAATCCGTTCCCATCACCTATCTACTCAAGGCAACTCACAACCACGTGTCACTACAGCTCCAGGGCATCCAGTGCTCTCTTCTGGCCTCTGCAGGCATTCATGTACCCACACAACAGACGGATTTTAAAATAAAAAGTCTAAAAGAAAACCACAAACAAATTAAAAAAATACAAGTAACAAAAAATAAATAAGCAGAGTTCACCCTGCTATAGTAGCACTTGGTGTGTATGGCATATCTGTAGTACTGGCACCCAGAAAGCTGCAGCAAGACCATCTCTTGAATCCAGGAGCAAAATACAGAAATTCCGTCTCAAAACAAAACAGGACAAAATGAAATGAATTAAAAAGCATGAAAGGAGAAAAAAAAAGATAAATATATGATTATTATTTCATAAATAGAATGATAGTACAATGCACAGTGGCATAAGCCTAGAGTCCCAGGATGGCCTCAGCTGCACAATGAGACTCCTGTCTCAAAACAGCTCTGTGTGTGTGTGTCTGTGTGTACTTTTTTAAGGACTGGGGCATAGATTAGGAACAGAATACTTGCCTAGCATATATACCAGGCCCAGACTGAAGGGAATTCTAAGTTTAAGAGAAACCAGAGCTATCTATAACAAGACCCTTTTTGTTCTGTTTTGTTTTCTGAGATAGGGTTTTACTATGTTATTCTGGATGTCCTGGAACTCACTATGTAGATCAGACTGGCCTCAAACACACAGAAATCAATCTGACTCTGCCTCCTGAAGTGTTTGGATCAAACGTGTACACCACTACACCTCACTCCCCAAAGCAATGTTTTAAATGACCATTTGATAACAATTAGGCAACTACTGTAACTTGGAAAATACTATTAACACCATCCCAAAGCTTTAATTCTGCAAATGGACTTACACCAAGAAATAAGAAAATTCTACGACTAACCTCTGAAGATATGTAATGCTTATAAGTCAAACACCATAAAAACGTCAGCTATAGGTTGATTATAAAAATTAATGTGGGGGCTGGAGAGATGGCTCAGAGGTTAAGAGCATTGCCTGCTCTTCCAAAGGTCCTGAGTTCAATTCCCAGCAACCACATGGTGGCTCACAACCATCTGTGATGGGGTCTAGTGCCCTCTTCTGGTCTGCTAGCATACACACAAACAGAATATTGTATTCATAATAAATAAATAAATATTTAAAAAAAAAAATTAATGTGTAGGGCTGAAGAGATGACTCAGCGATTAAGAGCACTAACTGCTCTTCCAGAGGTCCTGAGTTCAATTCCCAGCAGTAACATGGTGGCTCACGATCATTTATAATGAGATCTGGCACCCTCTTCTGGCATGCAGGCATACATGGAAGGAATGTTGTATACATAATAAATAAATAAATCTTTAAAAAAATAATGTGTAATCACTAAATCTTGAAAAATCGTTACTTATTACAAAAAGTTCTTTAGACTGGCTTTGAAACCTATTTTTTCTCCCCACTGAAAACAGATCACACAAAATATCACACACACGCGCGCACATCTATACATACACACACATATACATACACAGATAGTTATATATAGTTATGCAGTATCTAGAGAAGTAGCTACAGTTCATATTTGGTTTCTCTCTCTGGTGGCTTATTTTGTTTTTAAGTTTCTCTTAAGAGGTTTTTCTTATGATGTGCACACATCAGTCCTACAGTTATTTGAGTTTAACTCTAAATAACCCAAAACATAATTAAGCCTAGTTATTCATTGATTGATTGATTGATTGGTTTTTCGAGGCAGGGTTTCTCTGTAGTTTTTTGTAGCCTGCCCTGGAACACTAGACCAGGCTGGTCTTGAACTCACAAAGATCCGTCCATCTCAGCTTCCTGAGTACTGGGATTAAAGGCATGTGCCACCGAGCCCTAAACCTAGTTCAGATGTACTTTTAAGCATTCAAGGAAAGATGGTCTGAGATATATCCTGACCTTTGCCTTGAGTGGTACTTCTAAATATAAATGTTCATGAACTCTATTTAAGAACATCCTAACTTACAAAAGCTGGAATAATGAAGCAAGGAAATATGGAAAAAGACCGGCCCCCAAGTAAGGGTCCCTCCTTTTTGTAGGCCTTGGTAGTTCAGAAGCATTTATTCTCTTATCTAAACTAAGAATGATGTCACACATTTCAACTATATTTCTGTTCCAGAAATGACATGTTTCTGACCTAGGTAACTTAAGACAAATCTAAGAACCGACAAAATTGTATGAGATTTAACTATAGTAAGATACACATTTATAAGTCAAAGTTATTTCTGATAAACACCCTTGAGTTATTTCAAATATTATTATAATACCAGTTACCTAGGTAGTAAATTTGAAAACATCAGATTTTATATAATTATATGAAAATAAAAAGAATTCAAGATTTAACCACAAATTCCTTATTAAAACAATTTTTCTGTTTCTTAAAAAGAAAAAAATAAATAAATCTCAATTGTCTAAGAATTAAACTATACCAGTGAAACTTATCTGACTTGTATAATCCTGCCATTTAGGCCGGAAGTGGTGGTGCACCCCTTTAATCCCAGCATTTAGGAGGCAGAGGCAGGCGGATCTCTGTGAATTCAAGGCCAGCCTGGTCTACAACAGCTAGTTCACAGGACAGGCTCTAATGCTACAGAGAAACCCTGTCTCGAAAAGCAAAATAATAATAATAATAATAATAATAAAAGCTTATTTTAAAAAAATCCTTCCTAGCCAGGCGATGGTGACGCACGCCTTTTATCCCAGCACTCGGGAGGCAGAGGCAGGCGGATCTCTGTGAGTTGAGACCAGCCTGGTCTACAGAGCTAGTTCCAGGACAGGCTCCAAAGCCACAGAGAAACCCTGTCTCGAAAAAAAAAAAAAAAAATCCTTCCATCTATTCCCGAGACTACATTATCTATATTGAAATGTGATACTACCACTAGATGAGATTTTTCCATTATTAAAAACACATTCTTTAATGCCTACATGATTTAATCTGCAAAACGGTGCCTACTGGATGAAACCATAAACATATTAATAATAGAAAGTCAGCAAGTGGCGGTGACACTGTTAAATCTGCCCATACTCAAGTTTAAAAAAAAAATAATGTGCTTTAAAACAAGAGTAATTTTTTACTCTGTAATTTCCTCCCATGTAACTACTGTTTTCTAAAAGTTGAACTAAATCAAGATTTCGTTTTCATTCATTTATTTTTGCAAAACTGAGGCCTGAATCTAAAGCCTCGAACACGCTAGTCCTGTGCTCTACTTGGGCTGTATCCTCGGTTCTCCTCTTTTTTGAGACAGTCTCACCAAGTTGCCCAGGACAGCCTGCAGATCAAGCAGGACCTAAACTTGCCATTAGCCTGCCTCAGCCCTCCAATCCCAAGTAGCTGGAATTTCAGACTTTTACACATGATCGGTGTCCTTTTCGTTTTTCAGTCGTACCCCATTCGTGACATTTTCCCCAAGCAAATCGAGATTTATTTACTAAAGCTCAAAAATACAAAGTATAATGTTATGTGAGATGTAGTTACTAGCTAAAAGAAAGCCTAACTTTCTGTGCACGAAATAGAAATCTCAAAAAGAGTTCAGATGCCTAAAGCTTTTTTAATTCACAAAAGAGTTTTGTCCAATTAGACAACACTGAATTTTATTGTTGCTGAAGCTACAAGAGTGTATAGGCAATCTGCAATAACTATTCCACCAGCTTCCATCACGTAGCAGGTCCCAAACAGAAAAGACAAAAAAAAGAAAGAGAAAAAAAGAAGGAAAGAAGGAAGGAAAGAGTAGGCACAAGCCTCACCATCAGAAAATAAAGCCCATCATCACCTCTTCCGAGAAATAGTTCCCTTCCCCCACCTCTAAGTAGCCACTTAAGACTGCCAAGGAGATCCATTTCTTTATTAGCCGGTGCCCACTTGGGGCAATCGCACACCAAAGCTGCTCTGAAGGGCCTGCCCTAATCCCGTGTGAAACTGCTCAAGAGACTCAAGGGCTAGGATAAACCTGGTGAAAAGGGTCGGATTCTTTCTGACACCTCTTCCACACTCACTCCCTCACCCTCTCCTCCAGCCCGCCCCGGTGGCCCATCCTCCGGCACGAGGAAGGACACCGGGGCCGTGGTCCTGCAGGAACTGCCGGACAGAGCCGCTCAGGCAGTCCCAGGCCTCCGCCATGCCAGGACTCCGGGAAGCACCGCCCAAAAGCACCTCCCAACCGGCCGGCAGAGCGGACAGGCCCCGGACGAGCCAGGCCCAGGCCTGTCCCTGGGGCGCCGCGCGGGCCTCCAGGGTCCGATCCTCCTGCCGGCCCCAGGGCCAGACGGCGTGGCGGAGGCCCCTCACCTGGATGACCTCGTTGACCTCCCGGATACATTCCACCATGTGCTGCAGGATCTGCTCGGCCGTGAGCACCTCGTAGCGGTAATCCTCCTCCTGCTCGTGCCCCGGGCCGCCGCCGCCACCGCCGCCGCCGCCACCTCCTCCAGGCCCCAGAGCGCTGCCGCCGCCGCCGCCCGTCTCCCCGCACAGCAGTCCGTCCCGCTCCCCGCCGACGCCCAGCCCGGGCTCCACCAGCTCCACCTCGCCCAGGTCCAGGTTATCATCGTCCGGCTCGTCCTCGTCGTCGTCCTCCTCCTCCTCGGCGCCGCTGTCCTCCTCGCTGCACTCCTCGTCCTCGTCGAACTCGTAGTTGTAGCCTTCGTCCGAGTCCATGGCGCGACGCGCGCGGGCCCGGCGGACGCTGGCCGCGGCGCGAAGAGGGCGGGGACGCCGAGGCCCCGGCTCTCGCTCCGGCTCCGGCTGCCGTCCGGACGCAGGCCTGGTTCCGGCCCCGTGGGCCGCGGCTGCTCCCCCGGTGCGGCGGTTGGAGGTGGGCGGCGGCGGCGGCCGGGAGGGCGCGGAGCAGGGCGGGAGGGAGCGCGGGGGCCGCTTGCTGCCCGCCTCAGTCAGACACCGCTCCGCTCCGGCCTCGGACGGAAAACAGTCCCAAGCGCCACCTCCGCGGCCGCTGCTACCGCTACTGAGCCAACAAAGGGGCGTGCGTCACCGCGTCGCGCTGCGTCATCGCGTCGGTCCCCTGTGCGTCACCGCGCCACGCCCCTTGGCCCCTGCGTAGTAAGAGGGGAGACCCCACGGCCGGCTGGAGAAGGACTTGATCGCGGCGGCGCGGGGACGACCGGGCTGGACTGAGAACCCGCAGGTCCTTGAGGCTGAGGCCTTCCGGTCGCTGGGAGGGGCCCGGGGAGCGCCCAGGCAGAGGTTTTTCGCTGCCGACCTTCCCCGCTTTGAGGCCTCACAGACACTGCTCGACCGCCCAGGCTAGTTCCGGAAAGCCGTCTGCTGCTCAACTAAAATTCCGGTTGCCTGAGTTACTGCCTGGAGGGTGGTAGTAATCGGAACTCCAAATTGTGTGACAGGTAGTTGGAGTGTTGCTGTCCACTCATGTGGATCTGCAGCGGTTCACGGGTCCCCTGATGCGACGTCATCCTAAAGAGACGTTTCATGAACTCATTTTGACCAGCACTTCTTGAGGGTCCTAAACAATACGAAAGCCATGGCTTTCCTCAGTTGATCTCTAAGGGCCTTCCAAAAATTATCGCTCAGTTTCACTGAGTTCTAGTGTCCATGTTATAGCACAGGCACCTAAGGCTCTAGAACAGAAAGGAGACAAGAAAGAGTGTAGCCCTGTGATTGCACTCTTGCCCACCATGCACAACGGCCCCGGTTTCAATCCCCAGCAGTGGAGCAAAGGCTTTCTGATATATACTACATATTAGATGAAATGTAAAATACAGGAGAGTCAGGAAACAATACAGGCAAACCACACCTCCAAGGACCAAATGTAAGACTCCTTACCGGAAGATGATGCAGAAGTGACCTGTGTCACTGTGGCTAATTCAACAGAGGAGGAGGGAAAGATGCCCTCTCTCAAAACATGGTAACACGGAAGCTTAAAACTCAATCGATAAATGGGAAATATTAAGCAAATTAGTTAGAAGCCATGACAAGGCATGTTATGCCTTTCCAACACTTGACTTAAGTTGTTTTATTTGCTTTGGACCTTGTAAATAGGGCAGGAGAGCCAGGGAATTGTTTTGAAGGAAGCAGAGGCAGAAGAAGCCTCCCTCTTCCGGTAACTGGAAGGACTGGCCAGGCTAGAAACCTTTTAAAAGCTGAATCCTTAATTTATGAAAAGCTTACCAAATAAAGTACTCAAAATATACATTCCCTTTAGAAACTGGCTTTGAAACATGAAGATATATATATATATATATATGGCCATATTCATTTGTCAATTTTTTTTCAAATGATCAAATGTATTTTAGAAAAATATATTTACTGGGTGGGGGCGTGGCATGTGGGGGTCAGAAGAGAACTTGTGGGAGTCAGCTCATTCTCTGTGTGGGCTCTGGGAGATGGATTAAAGCCATTGGGCTTGGTGGAAAGTGACTTTCAGTACCTGCTGAGCCTTTTTAAATTTTTTTTAAAAGATAGGCAAGTATGACCTTTAACTCCTGGCCTTCCTGCCTCTGCCTCCCAGATGCTAGGGCTGAAGAAATGCACCAACATACCCAGCTAAAATCAAAGTTCTTAACATCAGCTCTAGGTTCTGTGTTGGTTCTTTGAGTCAGTGGTTCTTTGTTTCTTTTGGTTTGGTTTGGTTTTGGTTTTTTGAAACAGGGTTTCTCTGTGTAGCTTTGGAGCCCATCCTCGCACTCACTCTGTAGACCAGGCTGGCCTCGAACTCAGAGATTCACCTACCTCTGCCTCTGAAAGTGCTGGGATTAAAGGCTTGCGCCACCACCGCCCAGCTGAGTCAGTTTCTATTTAGCCATTATAAGCTATTGCCACAACTGGGGCAAGCCATAGACATAAACACACTTTGTTCTTCAGCATCCCTGTTGTGTTACAGCTATGGAAATAATTCAGTAACATTCTTGTGCTCACAGTTTCTCTTATGACAAAATAACAGGCAAAAGCAAGTTAAGGAAGGAGGGAATTAATTTGGTTCACAGTTTGAGGACAAGGTCTGTCCTGGCAAGGAAAGCAAGGTGACTGAAGTATGAGGCAGCTTGTCACAGTGTATCAGCAGTCAGAGAGATGAATGGCGGTGTTCAGATCACTTTCTCCTTACTATTCAGTCTAGGACCCCAACCTACGGAATCTTACAGCTCACATTTAGGGTGGATCTCCCACCTTAATTATTGCATCTAGAAAGTCCCACACAGACTTGCCCAGAGGTTCATCTCCTAACTAACTCTTGGTCCATCAAGTTGATGATAGTAACCATGACAGTTTCTGAAGACCTTAAAAACCCTTTGCATCACCTGTCTTTTAATAGTACCTACCCTCCACATCTCCCGTTGGGTACTGAAGTGGCTGGCCACAATCCAAAAAAACATGCTTAGCAATATGCTGACTCTCAATACTGCTGTCATGTTTAGAAATTTGTTCTCGAACTTTAACCTATTCTCCATAACTTTATTAGTTTCCTCGGACCTCCAGCAATGTATGTGGTGGTTCACACCTGTAATTCTAACAGCGCTGGAGACTGAGGATTGAACTTTGAAGCCCCAAAGCCTGGGCTCTGTGAAGGAACCATATCTCAAACAAAAACCAACAACAACAAAACCCACCCCAAACTTGCCCTTTCAGTCCTCTCAAAGCACATGAAATTAAGTTATAGTAAAAATTGAAAGCGGGACCATATTTGGAATTTTGATATTTGAAAATATCAACATCACTATAATATGCTGAGCAGCTAAACACTATTAGGGTTGAAAAACAGAGAAAGCAGATAATGCAGGACACAGTGAGAAGTATAGGTCATCCTAAGAAGCTTACGTTAGGGCAGTGTTTCAAGCAGAAGGGTAAAGCAATATGATCCTTGTTCTTTAAAAGATAGATGGGTACTTCATAGAGCATAGGCTACAATGGCATCAGCTAATTATGAGACTATCTCAGACATCCAGGTGGAGAGTAATAATAGCCTGAGCTAGTTTATGACCTTGGAGATACACGTGGTTAAGTCTGGATGTACTTTGAAGTAGACCCAACAGGTTCAGCAATGAGAACACCAGCATAACTCTGGATTCCTGAGTACAGACGTAGTGTGCACCTCCTCACGGTCATGTGCTCCCTGCCATGAGAAGACTGTATCTGTTCAAACCATGAGCCAAAACAAACACTTCTTCCATTAGGTTGACTTTGTCAGCTATTTTTTTGTACAGCAACGAGAGAAACACTACAGAAAATTGGTACCAAGGTGCCGTGATGTGCTTGACCATGTGGGTCTTGGACTTTCTGGAGGAACTTGAAAGATTTTGGCACAGTGGATTAAAGAAACCTTAGAATATCATAAGCAGAGACTAAAGGGCCATTCTGGTGAGAGTTTGGGCAAAAGACAAAAGAAATAGAATAGAAATCCCAGAGAACCTAAACAACAATGAGGCCCCAAGAGAGACATACATAGATCTAATCTACATGGGAAGTAGAAAAAGACAAGACCTCCTGAGTAAATTGGGAGCATGGGGACCTTAGAAGAGGGTTGAGAAGAGGGGAGAGGCAGGGAAGGGCGCAGAGAAAAATGTAGAGCTCAATGAAAATAAAATTAATAAAAAAAATCACTGAATGAACTAGATCCGAAAGGAAGGAAGGAAAGAAGAGAAAGAAAGAAAGAAAGAAAGAAAGAAAGAAAGAAGCCAGGCTCATGCAGTTTTGAAGAGGAATGAGATGCTTAATGTGCTAGAGGCACTTTTGTTTGAGTCTAGCAAAGAACTTGAATACATCATTCTGTCCATGTCCTGAAAGTTTTGAGTAAGCTAATAGACTAATTTGTTTGGTATTAGAAATTTCAACAGTGTAACTTTCAGGCTGTGGCACAGTTACTGCTCAGTGTTCTCAGTCAGTGCTACAGTGACAGCACGAAGATGGGAGAAGAGTGTGAGTTTAAAAGGTAGGCATGGATAAATCAACTGTGGTTGTCAAGTGAATTCAAGCTAGTAAAGAGAAACCTATTTCCCTATTCAGGAGGAAAATAGGAAAAGATGCCCTGAGGGTAAGACTCCACCACTGAAGACTCCAACTGGTGAAATTGAAAATTCATTTCAAAAGATGAACCTGAATTGAAAATGTTGCTGATGGGCTTGCCTAGGGAAGCTTTTCCCCCCAAGGTTCAGCCACCAAGTTGCATAGAGGCAACTATAGCTGCATTCATCTGAGCCTGGCAGCATCATTCCTGGAGCTTGTTTTTTAGATATACAAAATGCAATAGTTACAAAGTCATGAAGACTTACACTTAATATTTCCAAAAGCTGCCAAGGCCAGGCAATGTAAACAAGGTCAGATCCTCTACAAGGAACCTGAGGAACCATTGTGTGCGTGAAGCTGTCAGTGAATACTAAAATACAGTGGAGCCTGACATAGTGGCGCACACCTTTAATCCCAGCACTCAGGAAGCAGAGGCAGGCAGATCTCTGAGTGCCAAGACAGCCTGGTCTACAGAGTAAGTTCCAGGGTAGCCAAAACTACATGGAGAAACCCTGTCTTGAAAAACACTTAAAAAAAATTCTTGCCTGATGGGAGGTTAATCACTAGGAAAAACCCAGCTTATCAGTAGCTACACAACTAAAGAAAATGACATCTCCCCACAACAGTTGACTGCTACTTAAATAAAAAGGCTTTGGGCCTCATGGCCCCTCCCCAATCCATGATGAAAATGGTCACTAGTCCCACCTTCTGCATGTCTTACACAGATAGCCACAATTGCATTTCATGAGTGTGGTGGCTATGTCATGTCCTGCAGATGACTCTTTATTACACATCTCCCCATTATCTGGGAGTTACATTCATCCCTCCCCTTGTTCTGCAGTCATCTTTGAGCTTTCGAAGAGATGATATAGCTGACGCATTTAGAATGAGCCTTTGAGGACCAGGAATGGAACAATGTGTTTTGGTGTAGAGCTAACAAGTGGTAGACTTGTGACGATCATTAGTTTGACTACTTTTGGAATCACCTAATGGACAGAA